GGGACAATAAACGCAGCAGATGGTGGCGTGCCGAGTCCCGCGTCTCGGCCCTCGGGCTGACGGCGTGAAAGCAGCACCGGACCTCAGCGTTTGAGCTCATTTACGTTTCCTCTGCTGCATCCAGGGATTTCTACAGAGCAAATAAGCGAGGGCAGCGGGGGAGTCCGCCAGCGACTGGAAGCGCTGAGCTGCTGCTTGAAATTCTGCACATACCGCCCGGCACCAGGAATGTCCTAGGAATGCTCCTTCGGAGTCACGAGGCTTCGCGGCCAGGAACTGGGTGGAGAAAAAGGGTTTTTTTTTTTCCTAAGACAGAGAGGGAAGAATGCTGCTAAGCCCTGGCCTGGCTGAACTGGGAAAAGCAATGGAGCTCCCCGCAAGCCCAGCTGGCCTGAAAAACCCTTTGAAGATGTCGGAGCTTTTGCCAAAAACACCAAATTGGTGGCTCCTCTTAACCACAGCTGCAAGCAGCTAGATCCTGAGTGGGGGGGACAGCCCCAAGAGGTGGCGCACAGCGCCCGGTGCGCTGGGGGTTTTGCGCGCGGAGAGGGTGCGTGCCCGCCGTGCAAAGAGTTGCTATTTTGCTTCCAGTGGGAGAAAGGATGTGTGCTAACACAGGCTAACGTCCGCGCCGCCGGTCTGCAGCTGGCGTTTTGCCTCTCCCCCAGCCCTCAGCTCATGCCTTTCCCACCCTGCCTGGCGCTTTTGGCAGAAAAGGTCCAGCCCAGACACCCAGAAATACCCCAGCCTCGCTGGGCTGTGGGGAAGGATGGATTTGCCCTACGGCATTAGCAACACCTGGAAGATGAAAGCTTGATTTCCAGCCCGGGGCCGCATCCACGCTGGGTCCCTCACCCACCTGGGCTCCCTAGAGATGCGGCACCGTCTGCCTTGTGGCTATTGAGGGAGAGCATCCACCTAGAGACACGCGCACCAACCTGGGGCTCTCTTCTCTGGTGATTTTAGCCACTTTCGTAACACAAATCAAAACAATAATTCCCTGAGCAACACAGGAGCTGGGCAGGGAAAAACCCCTCCAGGCTTCTCGTTGATGCTAACGGGCCGCTCCTTCCTGGATAGTGGGGATCCCTACCACTCACGCATCAGTTGGGCTGTTTGGTCTCCCTGTGTACATTGCAGGGACTGGGAGCCGGTGTAGTGGATCACAAACTTCACCTCCTATTCTCACATCCGCGTCCCTCTGGAATAAAGAGAAACCCAGGATGAGCATATGCTGATCATTTTTTGCAGAGCGTCTTCAGCTCTACGGCGCCAAGAGGTGGATCGGCTGCAAGGCGGCTGGCAAGAGAGCAGCGGGGAAGGGAAAGCGTTTTATCCGGGGAGGTTTCCCAGGGTCGGGGACCTTCTTCCTTGCAACCTGTCAAAGTGAGCGAGGAGGGGGCTGCGCTCCAGCCCCTGGTCGCCGCGGCGCCCTGCCGCAAGGGG